GCGGTTGTCTGCGCAGGAAAGCGTGCGTGTGGTGAGAACACCACATTAGCAATATCGATGTTAGACCTCGCGTCCAATATCGCTGCGCCAACTGAGTTGGCGAGGTCACATCCTTCGTATGCCGTGCAAGCGTTTACCACGGTGAACTCTATTCGCTCGCGCAGCACCGCATTGGAAGAAATCATGCGGTGGCCAACCCTACCACATGGCAACAAAACTTCAAGGCGCTGACATCCAGTCCCGCTGTTGTCGGCTCCGTACGTCATCCAGGTTGGAGAGTCCGAAATGAAGAACATCGCTGGTTGGAGACTCTTAAGGACATGACGCACGATCGCCGGTAATGGAAGGTATGCATGAGTCTTTGCATTGATTCTACTGAGCAACACCGTAATCAATAAAAAGACAAAATGGCGTGTGAAAAACAGAAAAAAATTCTCTTTGCGCATTTTCCTTTTTTAATCTTTGTGCTTCTTATATACATGCGCATTCCATGATTTCTACATGGCAAGGTGCCTATTATACGGAATTCTGCCAAAATAGATAGATATAACTACTGCGACTCATAGGAACCAGTGCTCAAATAAAGAATGTCTATAAAAACAACAGTTAGTTGGTAGTTACGCCAGGAGTTGGAATGACATGACATACAGTGTCGCATCAGTGCTAGTGGGCGATATTTGAACGACTGCATTTTGAATGAGATATACCGAGAATAGGTCTACACATCGTGTGTGACAATTATCTGTGGCCACCTAGTTCCAGTTCATTTACTGTTCGCAAACAAGCGAGTTCACCAACGGTGCACAACGCAATTATGTCTAGTGGGTACTGAGGCACAGATCTGTAGATTCAAGTGAAGCCAAGAGAAGCTTCAGGGACCCAGATGTGTGTATTCCCAGCATTTCATAGATTACATTGTAGAGGGGCGGAAATAGTATCATCAAAGTGAAAAAAATTTAGAAATGGAAAAATAAAAAGAGTGTAGATGTATGATTGGGGGAAAAGGTCACGCATCCTCGAGCAACGACAGCACATTAATACAGAGAACCATCGGGATCTGCATCCGATTGGCAGGGTAGAGTTTCACTGAAATGTCGCCTGATAAATGGCTCGAAACAACCTGTAATTTCGTGACCGAAAGAAATAAAACGCGAATTGTGCGCAGTATCTTAGCGTATATTTTTGTCAATTGACGGAGTAAGACCGCCATGGCGAGCTTAGATATAGTTTAGCCAAAGGTGTCACAATCCAAAAAAATTGATATGTAACAACAGATAGCGTAAAAGCCATGTTCCAAAGGAATCGGCAATGACCGATTTAAAGATCTCCTCAATCGGAGATTCACCGATATCAGAGTGACACATGTTAAGGGATGTGGACCAAATGGAAAGGTAGCAACAGAGTTATCACCTGCATGAACAACGGACCCACCCTTCCATGAATGTAGCTATGTGATCAATAAGAGAAGCTAGTTAGGGTCAATAAATGTTATGGATGTCTGCAGTCATCCTGACCAGCAGCTCACGATACAGAAAGCGTCCGCTAGCTTACCGTTACCGAAAGTCAACAGAAGACCGAGGTACAGCGAGAATCAGTGTAAGTTGGAAAATGCCAAAATGTTTTCTATACCAGTAAACAAAACCATACTACACACGAAATAGACCAATAAAAAGAAAGGTACAGGAAGGTGATAGACAAAGTGACCAAAGCTGACAACAAACTAACCTTTGAGTGAACTCTCAAATAGAGAGGACTGTCAATGGACGCGTTTAGTAGATTCCGATCCAACAGAACGGGGACGGGTTTCTGAGGGTGCGCGACAGTACCGTGTTTGGGTTCTGTGATCGCGGATGTCACACAGGATGAAGCCGAAGGATTAGGCTTGGTGGTTTCGCCTTGCATTTCGGTTGTATCCTGGTCAGTGGATGGTCTGAACAAGCTAGCCTCGTCTACTAAGCGCTTTCGAAGGGACCCCTTGAGATCGTAAATGCAAGACAACTGCACTCGATCATGAAACAGATTTTCCATCACAAGTACATCGGATCGGTGCGTGTCAACGGATAACGTGTTCTTGAATCCCACGTGAAAAATTCCCAAAATGCGAGACAGAACGCACAGGCGCTAAAAAATATGGGCAACGGATGAAATCGAGTGAGTGCATATCGACATCATCGGAATGGGGTAAGGAGTATAGGGGAACGAACAGTCACAGGGAGTAACAGGGACAACTGCAGTCAATAGGTATTGAAATTGTATTTACAACGTGAAATTGCTGAATGAAGTGTGGGTGAGAGTGATGCAGTCGAGAATGGCTAAGATGTGCGTACTTTACGAGTGGCTGATGGATCATATCCAACTGCGCATGCAACAAAAACAGAAAGGTTATGAACATATGCAAAGCATTATTGACAGTAAGAGGCTTTGCGGAGAAGGTAGCCAAAACCAGTAACCAGCGAAATTTCACCAGGTTTCACGGAAAGTTTTTAATTTCATCTTGGTTCGTGTTGACGGTTTCAGAGTGCAAGCGCATATAATTGGACGATCTTGCAGGGAATGGCTCCATACAGCACTGCTCTAGGGTAATACGAATCTGTACTTTGTGGATTTTAATCCCCAATTCACCTGCGGGCTGAGCATAAGTGGGCTCACTATTGCAGGTGAATAAAGCAAATAGTGATCGAAAAACTCTTCGGCTGTCAATTGGTAGATCAAACATAGCTCAGTTAGTTGAAAAGAACCCGAAAACCGAAAGCGCACTGAATGAAGTGGTCATAATTAACACAGATGGGATGGGGAAAGTTGACAACGCGGAAAAATGCAAAGATGCAAATAAGCGTTGATCTAATGGAATCAATTGGTCACCCATCTAAGTGAGAGGAAGAAACGACGCCAGTCGATCTCTTCGTGTTATTTTGTCGTACAAATGCTTGTGAAGCAGTGATTTTCATTCAAGCAGGTTCAACTACAAGAAAAAGGCACCGGAAGAGAGTGCCGTTTCCACCAGTCTGTAGCGCGAAAATTCAAATTCATAGAATAGACGAGAGACTTGTCGAAAAGAGTGCTCTTCGCAAACTTGTATTCTTGCATTCACGTGGGTATAATTTACGAGTTAAAAGTATAATTCCAGCAACAGTAAGGTTTGCTGTCGCAGTTCCAGCAATAAACAATTACATGATGCTATTTACGGAATTTCTATCTTTAAAATTGCTCAGTATGCATTTAAATAAGAGAACATAATTTGGTGTGTGAACGCAAATAAGTGCTCCGTTGTGATAGATGAAAAATGGTAAAAGTGGACATTTTGGATAAAATATGTAGGTGTATATGGCTGCAAACTACTTAATAAACACATCAGCTGCGCCCCACAGCAGGTGTTTAGAAATTACGACCGAAAACAGAAAGTTATACCTTATATGTAAAATCTCAGCAATCGTTCATTAAAACAAAAATAATGTTCTCGGTAACTAGAAGAAAATTTTAGGCATTAAGCTGCTGCACACATTCTAAATACCAGTTAAATATGTTTTCACACTAGTAAAGTTATAAAAAGCACTTCCTTATATCAATTTGAAATACAGACCTTTGGAACCTTACCCCATAAGTGCGGCGGCAAGTGCCAAAGACGCTTCGCTGCTACGCGACTAAAATCAGTCGCGCGTGGACTAGGGATTATCCAAGGTCGCTTGCACTTACGCAAAAATCGAACCGTTGACCTGCGGATTACAAGGCAGATGTCTCCTACCAATTGGTCACCGATTGGCAACAAGCGCGTAACCCCTTTTACTGCACGGAGTATCTACAGTCAAAAGGGAAAGCTTGCTAATCAGCACTCCTCTGTTTTGGCGTTCAAAAGACGATTTTTCGGTCAAACAGAACGACAGATAATCGAGGTAAGCCGTAAATATCTGTTCTATCAAGGGAGCTAACTATTAAGCTGAACAACTTTGTGAAAGCAAGTTAGCAGACAATTTTCTAGTATGTTGCCTACACTCAACAGTATGCAGTAACAGGATAATCTGTCGAAAGACGAAGGAAGAATGGACCCTAATTACGGTAGCCAGAGTGGGTATATCAAAAGAAGTGAATTGCAGTCGGCACTAATGGTGCGTTTACTGTCGTCTTCTAGTCGGACAAATTGTTTAAAATGTGCCGGAGCTGTTATCTTCCAGGTGGCGGATGATTAGGACGCGGGCCAGTGAACGCTGCAAGGAAGCTGTCTCGCCAATGTCGCCTGATGTTTGTACGACAGCCAGCTGTTTGCAACCCTATTGTTGTTAGCAGAGTGTAGGCGTCATGACCCTGAACGTTTGTTCAAAAAGTTGTGGTTTTACGCAGGGTTCCCCTTCGCTCCCTCTTACTGTTCTTCGGTTAGTAGGTCATTGTGGTTGTACGGCAGCGAAGACTCAGTTCAAATGGCTGATGTAATGCTGTTGTTGATGACGATGCGAAGAGAGGTTCCTAAATGAAACAATAGCAATTGGTGGCCCGGACTAATACTGCGTATAAACGGTGGACGACAAGTGGCCGCATAAAACAGTTGGCGCGCAATTATCACATCCCCGGTCGATATGGAGGTTTGTACGAACGATAGCGTACATTTAGTTATCGATAAACGAACAGCCGGCTGGGATCCAGAAAGGTTTGGAAACAAACCGTTGGTATAGTTTGTGGGCGACGTATCATTTTTGACACAAAAACCACCGGGTGATCGGGGCCTCAGTTACGGTGAACTGGAGAGATAAACGCGACGATCGAGCAGGCAGGAGTGTAAATCACGTCGCAGGTCAAAGTGTCATTTCAAGCACCACACTAAGGATCGCGAATGTATCACTGTGATGTCCTCGCTCGTCAGTTCCTATGAGTGATGTGGGTAGGGGTATTCTGATGTTCGTTCTCTGACTCGGATGTCACGCCAAACCTATACGTGAATAATGGGTCCAGAAAACACGGGAACCCCGCTGCTAAGATCAGCAACAATTCTTCTAAATCACTAGGAGCAGAATAACTACCAATGTGTTAGGAGTGAACAGCTGGTTCGGTTGAGTGACGTTAATGGAGACAACTAGTAATGACAAGATCAAACAGAGTGCTCGGTGTTAGTACAAAAACGACAATGACGTGAAAGGGGAAGAAACACAATTGACCCCGCAAAAAGCGTTCGGATGAATAAGGGAATGAGTAACTCGAAAAGAATCATGCAAGAAAAGCGGCCTCCCTGTTAAAGAATATATACTTACTTGCTGAACAGCGGCACTGATGAGATATTCGAAGTATTGTTGAGATATTTCATGAAACGTTTTCATCTCGACTGTTGACAGTTCTTTTACAACAAAACGCTCATCTAAAAAACGGACGATAAGAGTGAAAAGATTTGCATAGACAGTGCATGTCCGAAACACCAAATATAGGCTAGAGTTTGGTCAAGAAACGCTGAGAAAAATTTTTGCAGAAAGACTAGGAACAGTCTTGATGACTTAAACGATATCGAAACTTTGTCGAATGGAGTGGCGTGGAAACGTTCACTAAGCGGAAGAGAAGAGGCCAGCGAACAAGAGGAGGAGAACAAGGGCACTAGTGTAACAAGCAGCACAGGGCTTGCTTTTCCGGAACAGCTAACACTGCGCCAAGCGCAAAAGGAGATGGAGCTCACGATGGCGACCAGAAAAACTAGCGAGCTGACAAGACACGTGCTGAACGAGATAGGCAAACCGAGTGAAGCAAAAAGGAAGCAGACTTTGAAAATCGCCATGAGTATTGTTACCATCAAGAAACTTTATCATCACCGTGGCTTGGTTAGAGCACTCATTGTATATATATATATATATATATATATATATATATATATATATATATATATATATATATATATATATATATATATATATATATATATATATATATATATATATATATATATATATATATATATACGGCTGGCGGCATCCGGGAATCAAGCGCTGGACCGTAGTCCGCTACACAATGAGTGCATGGAACCACTCTTTGATCCTAACACGGTCACAAGAACCGTGCACCCCGTCCCCTCCAGCAACGACCAACTGTCTCCTAGAGCCAGTATGGACGAGGCAGTGGGTAATAGACAGGTAGGCACTTTGTCAATATGTACACAAAGCGCAGCTACACTGGGGATATCAAGCAGCAGCCAATCATTTGAGAGGAAGATAACAAAGAAAATAAATCGAGTAATGCATCATGAAACGATGACATAAATCTTAAATTAATGAGTACCTGAAAGAATCCGAGATAAGCTCACGAGGTCAGAAAGTATAGTTTACGGAAATGCCGCAAACACGAAAATGTTATCAGAATTAACTACAATTGGCTTAAGCGACCTGTGCAAGTTTATAGAAGACAGGTAGGCATTTATATGAGAAAGAAAAGCATAAGGACAAAATTGAAAACCCACCACCTGAAATAAATAGACTAAGCATGCAAGCAGCGTGCCTACAAACGCTGCGCCGGTTCTGGCTACGTTCTCTGCAGGACCCGTCATCGCTTCGGCAGTGGTCCCGAGTGGCCTCGCTCATGGCTCACTAAGCCTGCCTGACTCAGGCACTCGCGACCGCGTGTGATACAGCACCATGCGCTCGATGTCGATGGAGTACAACCCATCGGTGCTTGCCGCTTCCGCACTTGTCGCTTCTTCTCAACATGTATGAAGTCATTCTCCCACACTTCGGCAACTGCCTTCGTGATCAGATCGCGCCATGCACGCCGATCAACCGCATTCGATCCCCATGATCTGCAATCAAGATTAGAACGTGTGAGGCTCACTTTAATCATGTCCTGGTAACGTAACTTTGGTTTCCCAGCATGCCGCCTCCCAATACTCAGTTGACCATATAATAGCTGCTTCGGTATCCGCGTCGAATCCATACGGCTCACATGACCGATCCATCTCAGGTGTCTTAGCAAAAGTATGCCGTCCACTGCATACATTCCCCTTCGACGCAACACTTCCGTGTCTGCAACTCTGTCGCTCCAACAGATGCGCAAAATCCGTCGCAAACACTGCTGATGGAACCGCTAGAGATGATATCTCGAGCACATCGCGCACATCTCGCCGGTACATCGTCCACGTTTCACTGCCGTATCGAAGAACGGACAGCACCATGGATCTGTACACCATCAGCTTCGTGCCAATGGTAAGCTGATGGTTGTTCCACACTCGGTACTCAAGCTTCCCGAATGCCGCCGTTGCCTTCGACACGCGGATACGCAGTTCACTTTGTATCTGCTGACCAGTCGACATCACACTCCCAAGCTACCTGAAGCGAGTGATTTGCAATACTTCAGCACCAAGGCTGATTCGCCGCAATATTGAAAATTGCACCTCCGGTGAAGGCTGAAAGAGACAGACAGTTTTGTTTGTGTTGATGGTGAGCCCGAATTTGGCCGCTGTCGAAGCCAGAGCAGTAGTCATATGCTGCAACTCATCCGCACTGTGTGCAAACAACGGACAGTCGTCAGCAAACAGCAACATACGGATAGTTGTCTCACAGACTGGGGTTATCGTACCGAAACGACGGATGTTCAGCAACCCACCATCAATATGGGAAAACACCTTGCCCTCACAACTCAGCAAGTTGATGCCATTAACATTTATTTTTAACATTTGCATGCATGGCTCGAGGGATGAGCTGTACAGCAATATGCCAAGAGAGGACGAATGTCCCGGCAGAATAGGAAACACTGATTGAAATAAAACTTCAAACAGTGGTCGGAACCGCGTCAATTGTCACCGTGTGGGTTTGGGTGCATGTTATGTAAGGCGTGATGATGCACCACGCATGTAGGTGTCGTAGACCTTCAGAGTCAGACGAAGAGTAGAAACACAGAGGTCAGAAATATCAAGTGATGTCATCCCGAGTGCGGTAAGATGTTTGGCTGAGGTGGAATATAACATCCCTCGATTATTGATAACGACGGGGTGGTGAACAATATTTGTCGTCTCAGGAAACTGTTCGCGTATGTATCGCGATATGGTTGCGGCATTCTCCCCTGATCCGTATTTACCCACTTTCAGTTTATAAGTACAATCCATTCGGTACGCGTCACAGATGGCCACGTCCATAATGTGAACCGTAGAATTTCTAACCGCAAGCAGGTCTGGCTTGATGAAGGAGGTGGCTGTCGGAATCCTCGGCTCCATAACAATGTTAATGCTTCGGCGCCGCAATTGCCTGGCAATCTGTTGGGCAATTTCATTATGACGTTTACAGCGGACATCATGCGTGATGCAGCACGCCTGAAGAACATGTGACAGAGTCTCTTTTTGTCCGCAGCTCCCGCGGCAGTTGAGAGAAGCTGGGTCATCTGTAGATCTGCCTCTGCTCCGTCGCGTTTTGGTAGAAAGAACACCCCCCCCGTAGTTGGACACCCCGTATGAAAAGACGTGGCAAAATCCTGGTGGGGTCCCTCAGTCAGTGGTGAGCGGAAGGTGACGTGACCACATTTCGCAAGGGAGAGCCATCCACTGAAGCAAAAAAGCATCTCTCCAGGCATCCGCAGCTGAGCTTTTATCCATGACGACGCGATTACCGATGGTAACAGTGGAGCGCGCTAGACGATGGATCGCAGCGGCTGCAGGGTCCCGGATCGCCCAACAAGTCACTGGATGGCAGTTGGCTAGGTGTCGTTCCAGCCTCTCCTTCCGTAGCAGGGGAATATTCGTTGACAGACACGGAATACCCAAATCAAAGCTCGCAATGGGAGCGTGAAGATACGCAATGGAGGTGTCTGACAGCAAGCGCAGCCATTTTCTGACGTGTGATCTGACAATGCGATCCAACCGCTTCAATGTATTCCGGTGAACCACTGCCAGAGCTAACTGATGAACATGCTTGGGGAGCAGATAGGTCCTCAGAATCTCAAGTCGTTGTTGTGGTTTAAGCGGTGCCTTGGTAACTTCGTTAAGTTGCACAGTAATATCGTCGATTACTGTTAGAGGGAGCTTACCCTTCCAGTTAAAAGGCAGGCCCAACATCTTGAACTTTTCATCGGGCTGAATGGAGGGAATAAAAATAGGACCACAGTCCAAAGCATTCGTATCCAGTATGGTTCGTTTGCGAGCGCCATCAACAATTATATTTACCGAGAAAGATTTTAGATGGTTGATGTTGAGGCCGACGCACTGCAGTCGTTGATGGAATCGCTGAAGGTGATCTCCCAGAGAAATGCGGTCTTGATCAAAGATGATCGCATCGTCCGCGTAAGCGAGGTACTCAATCGGGCCAGCCGGTGATATCCAAGGCGAAGTGGCGACTCCGTGTAAATCTTCATCTAGGGACATTATGAAGAGCAAAGGCGAAAGCGGATCTCCTTTCCGGACCCCTCTATCAGGATGAAGCTTGACATCATTAAAGATTGAGGACGCGGAGCTGTAATACGATGCCAAGTAATCTAATAATAGCGGGGGGGGGGCTCCGAAAGCAGCTGCTGCTCGAAGTAAGGAGTGATGAGAAATGGAATCGAACGCCTTCGAGATATCCACTGCCGCAAATGAAAGGGGGGTACGAGAAGAATGAGAATGGCGAAGAGCAGCATGCAGTAGGGACGGGGCTTCGAAAGCGTCATCTTTACGAAGAAAACCAAATTGAAGGCGGTCGGTAGGAAAAGTCGGAACCCAACGATCAAAGAGGATACGATGAAGAAGGCGTGTGAAGACAGATGAAACTGCGATTGGACGGAATTGGTCAGGGAAGATGGGCTGGGAAACTTTTGGTACGAAGGTGATCCGAGCAGTGTTCATGTGGATGGGAAATGGGTAGGAAGCAAGAAGACAGTTGAGAAAAGAAGTTACAAAGTAGGGATCCATCCTTGAAATATCGGCTGAGTTGATGCGGTCTACACCGGGAGCCGAACCCCGCATCTGTTTGAGAACACTTTGCATCTCCTCCAGGACAATTGGCTTCACCAAGTCATCATTAGCTGGAAGGAATCGACGCAGTGCGCGCTCATCATTAGCAGAAGGTCTGGAGAGGACATTTTTCCAATATTCCGTGAAACCTGGAATGTTCTCGTCCTCATTAAGAAAGGCAGTGCGCCATCTTCCGTCAATCACCGTACCTGCAGCGTCTTTCCGGCGGGTATGATAAAGACGTTGAATATGGCCATATTGTAGGCGTCGCCGGTGCTGATTGTTTCGAATCTTAACGGTATGTACACGTTTTTTCGAAGGCCTCCATCTGTGTGGAAAGAGAGTAGCACACACATCGTTTAGGGCCTCACTAAATGCTATCCTCGATCCATCAGTAGCGAATGAATTCACCAGCTTCCGAAGTATGCGGTGTTCCTCCTTGGCAGGAGAGGCGCAGTTGCAAA